GTTTCATTTTCTTGGACCTCGGGCTCAGAGGAAGAATCCAGAAGTCTGGCGGTTGCAAGGATCTTCTTTTGATAATCTTGTTGTGGGTTGCAAACAGCGCCCTCCCAAGCCCCGCGCTTTGGGGCCAGCGTTTTAGTTGGCTCACACTTCATGGGACCCCCGTATGAAAATCCGAAGCCCTCAACCGCCCTTCACACCTGGAAAACTTTCTGCCTGAAGTACCTACTCTATATACTTACATACTTGCATACTTGCATACTCACATACTTTTCGTACTTAAATACTTACATTCTTACATACTTACATGCATACTTACCTACTTCCATACTTACATACCATACTTACATACTTACATACTTTCATACCTACATACTTTCATACTTACATATTTGCATGCGTACAATCATATCTACGTACCCACGTTTCTTCATACTTTCCGACGCAACAAGAGAGTTCTTATTCGGCTTGTTTCTTCATACATATACACATATATACATTCCGCAAAACCATCAGCGGTCAACCCGTTCAACCGCGGCTAGGGCCTGGCACAGCACGCGACAGTCGAAAAGTTGCCATTTGCGCACGGCCAAGGGTCTAAAATCAGTGTAGCAGAACTAGGACACATGACCGTATGTTGGTTGAAGTCCTTCCATAAAATCATCTTATCCATCTAAGCTCACGAAGATCCCCGAACATGAATTCTCTCGATCCTTGGATTGACGTTTCTTTTCTGTGAGAGCTGAAAACCCTTCCTGCCCCTCTTTGCCAAGCAAGGGTACAATAAGTTGGGTTCTGTGTTCCGCCCTTCAGCTTGAGGTGTAGCTTTGAAGGTTTAGGGCGTTGCCGGTGGTCGGTAAGCAGCTTGCATGGAAGCCTAAATCGCTGTAATAAGGCTTGTGTTAGTTTATGCACGCCATCCTACAGTACGTGTGATATATAGAAGACTGCAGCCAATTCGGACATGGGGCGGCGGGCACGCTGCAGGTTCAGTCAGGCGGCTCTTCTTGCAATTTTGGATCCATAATGGAAATGTTGAAAATATTGAGCTTCAATATGCGTATGTTGAAATATTGGAAAATATTGAACTTCAAGATGTCTAATCCAAGATTCTAAGAAAGGGTTCCCCAGAATTTTTGAATCTCAGAATCTTTCATCCATAAATTGACATATTAAAGTACATCGCTCTTCAATCCCCACAATCTTGGAATCTTTCACTTGGATTCACATATTGAAAAATTGCAAATATTGAGGTTAAAAATGCGGAGTCCAGTATTCCAGCATTTCATGATATGAGATATGAATAATGTATATAAAAGCAATTTGATAGCGGGGAGGTACCGTTTTGGAGTCATATAAGGACAAGATGACCCTAGAATCATAAGAAACCATCGAAAGAAGCGTGCACCCGATGCTCCGTCCCATTGTGCGATGTATGAGGATTATATAGGGATTTACCAGGGCTATAGAACAATTCTATAGGGGTCAGAAAGGAACTATATGTAGGGTTTGTAGGTATGGACTACATGGGGAGGGTATATGGGGATCAGAGCAGGGTTAAGGTGATTCGGGCTTGGGTTTATATGTATATAGAGAGAGAGAGAGAGGGAGAGAGAAAGAGAGAGAGAGAGAGAGAGATGACCTATATAAGGAGTTAAGCACAGATCTATGTAAGGATGATTTCTGTTAGCATCATGCAGGGGTTACAGAGGGGCTATAGAAGGGGTTGTACGAATATAAAGATAGTATCAAGACTATGTAGAATGCTCCAGAGACAGCTTTACGACGCCTTGGAGCAGCGCTGAACCGTGACCAGACATGGCAGCTGAAAGCTGCGTTGTTGACTGCCGGCCCCTCCCCGACCTAGCCTTGAGAACATCCTCGAATTACCCCAGCATGTTGCCTTTTCCGTGCAGTCCTGGGCGTTGCTAGTAGTTTCCATTGTCTTTTCCATTATCCCAATATATCCCCAATATAATCCCTGTTTAAGGGGTATATCCCAAATAGTATATAGTAGTTTCCATTTTTCCATTATCCCTATATAACCCCAATATAAACCCTATAATCCCTATATAACCCCTATAGAATCCCTATAATCCCTGCAGTTTCNNATTTTCTTTTCCATTATCCCCGCATCTTTCCAGGGCCCAAGGTTTGGGGCAGAAGGCTGCAAGCCGCTACGCAGCCAGGGTTTAGGGTTTAGGGTTTAGGGCTTAGGGTTTAGGGTTTAGGGTTTAGGGAGGGGTCCTAAAGGCAGCAAAGTTCGGAACAAGGAGTCATATGGGGTTTAAGGTTCAGGGATTATAGATCTTAGCCCTATAAGGGGGTTCTAGGGATATATCCTAGGATTTCCTGAATAGTGGAGAATCAAATGGAAAAGAAAACGGAAAATGAAATGGAAACTGGGATTATAAGGGTGATTATTGGGATTATGTTAAACAGTAGTTTCCATTTTACTTTCCATTATCCCAATATATACCCAATATATACCCAATATAACCCTACTATTATCCCAATATTACCCTAAGATTACCCCTTTTTGGAACTGTCCGTCCCTGCACCTTCTGGGAAACTGACTCACGTGGGCAACTAAACAGACGCAAGGAAGCCCAGGGCTAGGGTTTTGGAATTAGTTCAGGGCTTGCGCTTCTATAAATAAGCAAAGTTTACGTGGCGGTGGGGCCGAGATTTTGTGGCTGCCAACTCCACCATTTGATGCCGCTTGTTCCGTCATAACATGGTAATAATAGAAATAATATAGTAACACTCTGGTAAGTTTGCAATATGAATATTCTCTGTAATCATATCCTAGCCTGTGCTTTTCACACAGAACTTTTCCCTGATCAATTGTGGATGTCTCTGCGTCTTAACACTCACTCTGAGGGATCCTGTACGATGATCAGGAGCTGGTTCTTTCGATGTCAGGCTGTGTTCATGGAACCGGAATCAAAGCAAGAAATGTCTGGCCCCAAAGGAAGGCCCAATGGACTCAAAGAAATAACCCCCGAGAGTTGCGCAGGGTGCTTCGAATACTGAAGCAACATAGGCAATGCTAACAATAGGGTTGTACCCTCTAAATACTATTAAATACTACACACCTAAGTCAAAAGGTACCCTCGAAGAGAAGGGACCTTTTCATCCTGGAAGCACAGATTCCTGTGTAAATATTCCCAACTCAGCCCAACACATTGTAGAAACCTACATAACCCCTGAACCTACACTGTAAATCCTGAGCCTAAACCCTAAATCCTAAACCCTAAACCCTTAAGTGTATCCACCTTAACATAACCCCTCATCCTGTCAACCCCTGCAAAACTTTTTTGCTGTTTGGCACGCTAAGCAGCACCACTCGGCGCCTGTGCCAGAGGACGCAACTTGCCAGCCTTGTCGCTTGACTGGTAGGTTGAGATGAGAATTATGGTTAAGAGGATAGGGTACAGGATGTAGGGTTTAGGGCTAAGGTTACTATTTGACCTCCTCATCTGCGCTATATCAGGCCTTAATCCTCCTAACTTCCGCCTAGGAACTGTCGCGCACAGCAGAGTCCAAGCCTGACAGGTGCTCAATAATTTCAGGCAGGGGCCCACGCCCAACCCTACACCCTAAACCCTAAACCTAAACCCTAAACCCCTGAACCCTAAACCCTAAACCCCTAAACCCTAAAAATTTTGGGAGTTGGGGATAGGTTTCAAAGCCTGGGCTCTGGTCGAATAGAGACTAGCCCCCCGGGAAAAGAAGCAAAACCTGAAACTCCTGAAGTGCGCCTTTCAAAACTTCTCGCAGTATGACCCAGAGCAGGGTCCTCCTTACGTGAACAAACCGCAGAATCGCAGATTATGCTGCGCAGAAGTCGTACAAAGACCTGAAAGAGGGAGTTTGGAGTGGATACGAAATTGCTGCGAAGGGAGTACTATTGAATCGTCTAACAACACGTCTCCGGTGAGGCGTGGGCCCTTTCCTGAACTCTTGGGGTGAAACAGCAGAGCTCAGAAAACTCCGCTTGTTAGCAGCTACGTGCCTCTCAAGTGAGCAAACAAAGAGGTGGGCCGTAGAGCTAAAGTAGCAGGAGAGGCCGTCGTGTGCTGAGCAAGAGGCGAGCTAAGCACTACTCACTACTCGTGTGAAGCTCTGAATGAGGAAGACGGAGTGGTGTTAAACACCACACTGGTGGTTAGGGCCAGGGTTTACGGTCCAGAGTCAGACATCACAAGCATGGGGGGCATCAATGGTTGAATGGCTGGTCCCTGGCTCGGAGGGGGGGGGAAACAAAAAAACAAAGAAAGTGAAACAAGCCTATTATAGAGGCCGAGATAATTACCAATACCATTTCAAGTCTATGTGACGTACCCTATACTATACTATACTATACTATACGGGACGACACCACACCACACTTATACAAGCAATCCACTACGATAACATTGGAAATCGTCTATGCCCCAATATTTACTCTTTGCTTTTGTCAGCAAACGTTATGGAAACCTCCACAACCTGAAGGTCAAACTGTAAAAGGCCAAAATCTGAAGTCACAGACGCAACGACCAAAAAAAGGCTAACCCCTGAATCGCAGGACGTTTTAAAGATCGACTTACCCCAAGCCTTAAACCTGAACCCGAGCCTGCCGAAGCTAACGTGCCATTCTGAAGAGCTCAGCCCACATTACCCTAGGAAGAAAAAGCATCCCTTTTTACAAAAATATAAGGAATCCCATACCCCGAAAAGTAAAGGATCACTACAATTGATCCAGAAAGATCCCTATAGAGGCTGCTGTCCTCTTAAAAAGATGGGGCGGTTTGTCGTTCCAGGTTGTCAAACTTGAATTACCTATATATCCCTCTCCCTGAAAAGCCTGCATATCCCCCTCACATCTTCTGTAAACTCCGATAACTCGCACATAACCCTGAACCCTAAATCCTAAACCCTAAATCCTAACCCTAAACCCTAAACCCCCTAACCCCTCCTCACCCTAAACCCGAAACCCAAACTGAGCCCATGTCGCAGCCTCAGTCGAGGGAGTCTAGCTCCTCAGCTCGACCTCGGGAGGCTTCACTGCGGTTTAGGGGTTTAGGGTTTAGGGGTTTGGGGTTTAGGGTTTAGGGGTTTAGGGTTTAGGGTTGAGGGGTTTAACAAATCCTGTTAAGGTTTGGGTTGGGGTTGCAGGTTGCGGGTTGCTGTTGGAATCCCATGAATTGGAGCTCCTGCGATTTATGCTGAAAATCCTCAGTGATCCTAAGTGCCTTGTGTTTTGGGACTTGTTTTGTTCCTTAGCAGCAATATTATAAGGCTGGGGATTGTGTAGGGTTTCCCTAAACCCCTAAACCCTAAACCCCTAAACCCCTAAACCCTAAACCCCTAAACCCAGAGCTTGGGCTTCAGGTCTTAATGGCCCAGACAGAGATTTCTCAACAGCCGCCGCAGGGAATACACGATCCTGCTTGCAATTGAGTAGGGTTTAGGGTTTAGGGGGACACAAAACTGCCGACAGTTTGGGAACCTTTTAAGCCCTACATCCTGGACCCTTGATCTCTAAGTCTCGAAACGCTTGCCCCTACAGTCTTAATCCTTAACACGTAGAGCCTCAGCCCTAAACCTCGAAAACCCTGAAGTCTATAATGTAGTAATAGACATGGTTTTGGTCATGGGGTAAATAGTATTAGTAACAGTAACGGCTGTGATACCGACTTTTTTTGAAATCGGCCATGAGACCATATGAAACTCTAGCACATTGATCCCAAGCCCTAATGCCAACAAAAGCACCAAGTTCTAAAACATCAGCCCTGTACCCTAAACCCTAAGCCCTGAAACCCTGAACCCGTAGCCCCAAACCCCAACCAAAGCTCTAAAACCCTCAACAATTGACCCTAAGCCCTAAAATCCAAATCCTAAAGCCTTGAACCCTTAACCCCAAAACCCTGAACCCTTGACCCTAAGCCCTAAAACAACCTTCAGACCTTAACCCTAAGCCCTAAAACCCTAGAACCCCGGACCCCTAACCCTGAAACCTGGCAAACCAAAAAACTGGGTTGCTGTTAAAGAACTTAAATAAAGTTACGATAATGGGTATACATAGTAAATGATAGGGTTTCCCCAGTATAGTAACTTAATTTAGGTCCCTTAAATCCCTGTATTCCCCCAGT